TTAATAAAAAAATAAAGATATTTAGCAATAATAAAACTTTAGAATATATTAATAAAAAAATTTTTTAAAAAATATAATGAATAGAATAAGTATTAAGACAAATATATATAATTTTTATAATTTTTGACTGTATAGTTAATAATTTAAAAATTGGCAAAGTTAAAATTTATAATAAAAACATATTAAGTAGATTCAATCTTTTGGAAGCAACCATATTAAAAAATAAATAGTTATTATTTTTTTTTTTTTAAAAATGTTAGCTCATTCTTGCGTCGGGTTGATTTCTTTACTAATTTTAAGATACGTTCTAGGGATAACTGAAATTATTAGTTATCCATACTGTCTAAGAATTTACAGATCAACGAATAGTATAAAGAACATCTATTTATGTTTCATCCAACCAGAATAGAGGAACTATATTACCATCTAATGTAAAATTACTCTTAATCCTTAACAAAGTTAAAAAGGTATGAATGTATGCTATCAAACTAATGGACCCCAACTTATACTCCCTTCTCATAAACCAATACTTCCTAAGGGATTCTATCAAATGGTCTATTGCTACTATTTTGAGGGGAACTAACATGCCAAGAACTTGTCTAAGATGTTCAGCACTACCAATGTTGAGGGTTCTTATACAAGATCTGAAGACCCTATTAGCACTAAAAAGAAAAAAGAAAAAGAATTTAGATCTGTCCTGTATTTTATCTGAGGCGTAGTCTTGTATCATAGAACTTCTGTTACCTATCTATTAAGAAACTATTTTATATGACTCTTGTATTTTTGTAGATGATCAGATCTATCTTTATACGCAGTCCATGGGGCAAACAGTCCATAGGTTTGTTTACTCTTTCTTGATGGTTAATGATTTAGAAGATTACAGTATCCTATATCCATCCGCACCAAGGCATATAACTTATAGTGGATTCCAGGTTCTTATGGAGTTGAAGAAATGCATTCAAACATGTGAGGTGATCAATGAGAACTTGTTTATTAATCTTGTTCAACGCATTTCATGTTGACCAATCAAAATCAATGAAATTCGTACTACCTGAAATTTCAGGATCAAGCTGGGATAGGTAAAATTTCCCAAAAAGTCATAAAAAGTGGTAGCTCTAAGAAAACAAACCAACCATTCAAAGGGTGGGAAATGAGTCCTTTGAATGGGAGAAATCCTTTCTCACGTATGGTTTTGTTCCTTCACTTTAACTGATAGGTGGCAAGTATTTTGCTGTTGATCCTTCTCCCTTGAAAAACTTTCTTGCCATTGGTAATAAAGATAAGTACTGGACTTTGTAGGTTATAAGAATCCAGTGTTATTTGAAGAAGATTGTAGACAATATGGAGGGAAGTAGTGAAATCTTGAAGAAAATTCCTTCAGGTTGGTTTAAGAAAAGTATTAAGATTTTGTTAGCACAGAAGTAACAAGACTTTTGCAAATATCTTTTTTATATGTAGTTAGAGAATCAGCGGGAAGAGTTGAAAGTGATTGAAAATAAATAGTTATAATTATTATTTTTATTATAAAATTAATATGTATTAATTCTTATTAAAGTTTTTAGATAATAAAAAAATTAATATAAAAATTTTTGCTTTTAATATTTTGATTAAACAAAGTTTTTGAAAATGTGTATATTTTTTTTTATATATTTTAATTAAATGAAGTAAGAATAATTAAATTTTTACATAATTAAAAATTAGAAAAATATTTCAATTAAATATTTTTTTAAAAAAAGACTAATAAAAATAATCAAAGATTTGAAATTGGATTTTAATTTTTTTTATTATTTTTTCAACAATTTTATTTTAATAATTTATTGGTTTGAAGGTAATCAATAATAATTAACTATTGATAATAATTTTTTATATTAGAGATTAAAATATATATCGTTTTTTTATTTGATTGAAATTAATTTAATAAACTTATGTATATATATTTTTAGTAATCTAGTTTTTTTTAAATAATTAGTAATATATCAGTTATTATATGAAATTGCTATTTCAACGTTGGTTTTATTCTATTTATCATCTAATAAAAATAAACCCTGGTGATATACTTTGATTTTATAATTTTTAGTAAATATTATAATAATTTAAATGTTAATATTTAATTTTAAATAGAATACTTAAATCGCGATTAATATTTTAATATTTCACGTGAGCTTTGTACGACACCTTATCCAGACATTTCGCTGTATCATTGGTCGGTGTTAACCATTTATGTCATGATTTCTCCGCAAATCTTTTTTGAATAAGATGTCAGGCTCAGTGGTGTTCAACACTTCTATGGTATCTACAATCACACATTCCACCTCGACCTTATATCCATTTTACTCTTTGATCGTACGCACGTCGACACTTATTTTCCGAATTTACTTGAATAGGGGAAAATCACTTTCGAGTTATATTGGGATCATGCGCCAAAAACATGTGAAAACTTTTACGAACTGGTAAGACACGGCGAAAATTATTTTATATTGATATCCATCATTCATTCGGAGACTTAACTTTTCATTCCTGAAATTGGTAGGCAAAGCGTGGATATTATAATAATGTCATCGTGAGTGAAGAATCCTAACCTGTCCCGTGAGGTTAAATGAAAAAATGATTAATTCGAAATTTTTTTATCACGCACGCGTACATTAGTTCCACAGGATAATTCCGGTACGATGAATGAGAACCCTTTAACACTGATCTCGTGAGTTGTTACCCGAATTAGCCATATGTCAAGACACTCTTTGATCGTTGTTATTTCTCACAGGATTTCATAGTGCAAGGTGGTGATCCAACCGGAACCGGTCGAGGAGGCTCATCAATCTACGGGTGAGGTCATCGTAAGATTCTCGGGAGTTCCCATCATGTTCGATCTCATCATTAATCAAAATAGGGAGAAATTTGAGGACGAAATTAATCCAGAGTTGAAGCACACAGGCGCGGGAATTTTGAGTATGGCTAACTCTGGCCCAAACACCAATGGTAGCCAGGTGAGATAATCGCATAATTTGATTTCGGTTTTGCATTAAATATACTCGCGTCAAGTAATCTGTCAAAATGGTTCCAAAGTTTTTCATTACGTTGGCCCCTACTCCGTGGTTAGACGGTAAAAGAAATCACATTGTTTGATTCATTAACTTTTTTTTTTCTTTACTATGGAATTTTAAAATAGTACTTTATTTCGCATTATAAATAAAACCCCCCCCCCACATATATAGGAAAGCATACGATATTCGGTAGAGTGAGTGATGGAATGAGAGTTGTAAAACGCATGGGACTCGTCGATTGCGACTCCGATGATAGGTAAGAAGTTTATTAAACAACTCTTGTTCAGAAATAAAAAAAAAAAAAAGAAAAAAGAAAAAAACGACATGTAACACAATTATTTTTATTCATTTATTTATGAACTGATGGTTAATAATTGCTTATGTATGTATCATATACATATACTGTATGTAATCAGACCAAAAGATACAGTAAAAATTATGACATCACAAGTCTTGTGAGATGTGGTATAGGCAAGTATACTGTAGGAGTTGATTCTTGACATGCCTTGTTCATCTCGACTTTCTATCAAATCTGCGCAACAAAGAGAATAGAAACTAAATTCTTAGTGTTGTGATGCATTACGTCAACGAGAGAAAACAATCGTTTGTGAAAAGTTACATAAAAATTTTTTTTCGTCGATATCGTAAATATCATCGGAGAGCTTGATAAAAACAATGTATAAATATCAAGTCCGGAATGTTGGAGTTTTTTTTTTTTTTTGACATCCCCTCTCATTAAACATGGTCACTCTTGTGAACGTCCCACGAAGCTCAATGCTCTTCGAGGAATTTCAAGTTCAAGTTCCATCGTGCGAAACAATCATTCATTCGATATTTAAAATAGAGATGCCAAGTCACGTAGTTGCCAAACACGAAAATTACAAACGAAATCAAACGAGGTGTAATGTTCAACGATTGTACCACGGTACCAAACACTGTTGCAATATCAAAGAATTGAAGGAAGTTGGCATGTTGTGTAATGACATGCAATGTGGAGTTTGTGGAATTGTTCGTCATGGACCTCAGCTGGCCATGGCCAAACCGCATCATGTGGGACGTGAGTAATCCGGTCGTGTATTTCAAAAGTTCTTTTTGTCGTCTTAAGATGTCTTTTTATGACCAAACTCAGGATACATTTGGTTCGGATCGAGTCCGGCAGTGTCTTTTGTTTACACCGGTTCAAAACTTCTTTTAAAAACCAAAAATTATTTTGGCCCCAAACTATTATCATGTCCTGGCAATGACTATCGAGCCATTTTCGTGATGGACGTGGTTAACGCCAAGACTCACGGTAACGTTTTTATTGTCGGAGCGGAAGAGGTAAGTGAACTTTCTCATTTTATCCGGAAATCCTTCGCGCCAATAAATCTCCCTTACACCGGTTTCCTAACAGGCGATTCTTCCAAAATACCTGATAATCTATAACGTGAAATTCAAATCAAACGAAAAATTTTGCTAACTCGCGAGTTGCAATATAGTGAGCACGGGAGCGTGTGAAGTTTCGATGTGGACTACGTGTTTCCCCCCCCCCCCCCCCCCCAAAAAAAAAAAATTTGCGTAAAGATCCTTGCCGATTCTTTCGCACACTTAAAGTAGTGTCGAAGTTTTTTTTTTTTTACATTGAATAGTATAATATGGCGAATAAAGATAAATTGTAACTTTAAGTCAACACGTGGAAAAAAGATTTAACCATCGGGAACTTGAAGCGTGAAAGCGTGCAAACAAATTGTGAGCGACTCATCAGACCTGCAAATGAAGATAACCTCCCATAATACGTACTTTACGTTTTACGTTCAGGAAATGACACTTAGCATAGTATGTCAATATCTTATGAATCATTTTATAGATGTTTATACAGTAAATACAAGTCGAGATGTTTTATGCCAGACTACCAATAAAAATTCTTCTAAAACATGCCTACCATTCATTCATTCTATACATTGTAATATGTAATGTAAAAAAAAAAAAAAAAAAAAAAAAATTTTTTTTTGATGTACAGTATATCTTAGTTAATATAAATAGTCAACATTAATGTTCTTACACTTCTCAATTGATTTGGGATGTTCTCTTCGAGCTGCCTCTTTCAGATAATGAACTCCTCTTTCCCTATTCATCAAAACACCTTTGCCATTATAATATGCACACCCAACATTATACATGGCATCTGCATTCCCGTTATCGGCTGCCATTGTCAGATATCTGATCGCTTCATTGTAGTTGGTTTTCACTCCCTTTCCTGACCAAAGGCAACCTCCATACTTTAGTTGAGCTTCAGTCCTTCCATTGTCGGCAGTCTCTTTGAACAGTTGGGCTGCCCTCACGAGGTTCCCTTCTCTATCATGTTTAAGATCATCAATCTCAGAATAATAAAGATAACAACCCACCCAAAATTTTGCATGCATATCACCATTTTCTGCATGATGGCAAAAGCATTTCCAGGCTGCCTGCTTGTTTCCTTTCTTGTGTTCCTTAATCGCTTCTTGGACGCTCATGAAAGCCGATTCATCCATTGGTGCCTCATCGATGTCCAGAATCTCATTTTCTGACCCAAATCCATCATCCACTCCTGTACCGACAACCTTTATAGGCTGCGGTTGAGGATTGAAGGTCCTTTGGCACTGGTAAAGATTCTCAAAGATATTTGCAATTGCGGGACGATCTAATGGTGAATAGTGTAAAGCTATCGTGCGAAACGAACGAGAGCATATTGGTTGACTTTTCATTTATGAGGTCGACAAATGTGATTCAAAGTTACCTTTATTCACAACCATCTTCCACGCCTCCGGGACTCCAGGGGATAATGGTTCGCGATAACGGGATTTGACCACCAGATCACGAATGACTTGAAATTCCAATTTTTTAGTCGAAAAGGGCATTCTTTGTTCCGCAATTTCCCACAGGAGTGCCCCAAGACTGGTGGTGATAGAAGAATATTAAGGAAAGTGTTTAGATGCATGGGCGTTCAGTTCATTCATTCGGTAAATCTATCCATTATAATATCAATCGAATACCTGTAGATTTCACATTTAACATCATAAGCATGTTTTTCCCCCTTGGACAGCTTTTCGGGGGCCATGTATCTCACCGTCACCAGACTTGTCTGAATATTCCTCGTGATCTCGGTGAATTTTCGACTTAATCCAAAATTGGCAATTTTGACCTTATGGTTTTTATCGACCAACATGTTTGCGCCTCGTAAATCGCGGTGAAGGATCTGACGTGTGATGACACAAGTGGGATGCGCGCATTTAATCTCAATGTAATCAACCGGGATTCACTGATTGGTCTGTATTTACCTCAACCGCATTTAAAAATATAAGGCCGCGACAAATGTCCACGGCAAAGTCGAGTTTCTTTGTCCATGAGATGAATGGATGGCATTCATAATATTCAAGTAGACTTCGATTTTCCATCCACTCCGTCACCAGGTAATATTTAATTCCATCATTTGCGATACCATAAAATTTAATTATATGTCCGGAGTCTTTTAGGTATCGCAAGATCGCAACCTGTTGACAAATTTCTCTTCCCGTCTCTTCGGAATTGTTCGTGAATTCCTTGAATGCCACTTCATCACCGTGAAGCTTACTTAACCTTTTGGTAACGTTTCGCCTAGTGACATTGGGTATTATCCTCTCGTATAAGTTTAGATCCAACAATCCTATATTGACTAGTTCCGGCGTGTCTGGATTTCGGATTCTTTGTTGATTCTGAAAATCAATGTTCATGTTTCGAACCCGCGAAATGCTTATCGAAATGTGATTACGCGAATCGGTAATTCCTCCGTGGTGGCTGAGGATCTAATGTGAAAAGTGGTGGGGTTCAGTAAAAAAAAAAAAAAAAAAAAAAAAAAAAAAAAAAAATGCTTTGAACCATTCTTAAAATGATGTGGATCACCTCTTTAAGTTCTTTTACATTTTGTGAAATTATCTGCAGCTCGGTGTTCGTGCCCAGGTTGGACTGCACGATAATCGAGAACTGCAAAGATTTCATGTACCCCTCGAATTCGGTAGTGAGTTCGTCAAATCTTTGCTCAATCATATTCCCTTGAAATATCATTCTCATCCTTCCAAGTTGTGATATCTCGACAATGTAATCCCGTATTCTCCACATGCAATCCACGAATCCTTCAAAGATCTGAAGATTCTCTTTGGTAAAAAATTTTTCATTCTCATTCTTCCTTGTTTTCAGATCTCTCACTGCTGCCATGGCGGCGATAACCCTCTGAGTCATGTGGCTGCAAATACCCCTATTATGCTCGGCCTTTTGATACAAAGAGATGATTTCTTCGCCTGCCTTACAGATGCTTGATATTAAGCCTCCGAAAGGAACGAAACTTGCGACAACATCAACCACGACAGCAGCCTGACTTAAAATTTCATTTGTGCAATCAAGCGGTGTGGTGGTGGTATTCGTTTCGCTCGATTCGCTCAGATCCATCATATCATTATCTACAAGCGTCAAATCATTTACCTGATTGCTAACACAATTCACGCTATTATCATACTCTAATGTGCGTTGCCTCTGAAATGGGCGTTGTTGACTTAACGCTCCGTTGCCGACAGGGCGTTTTACCCCTCTGTTAACCGTTGAATCGCGCGAGTTAAAAAAGGTGTCCATTCTTATGTGAATAAGGAAAAATTATCAGGGAAATAGCTTGGACGACAATAAATATTTTTCTTTTATACCCGATGGTAAGTTTTCGAGATCAACGTTTTTGTTTTTTGTATTGACGGAAGATTTCTCCGGTTAAACCCATGGAATTCCATCGTCGAAATACCGGATGTACGTGCATGCTAGTCCTGAAATATTTATTCCGTCAAATGATCTGCACAGTGTGTTGTCAAACAAGACGCCTAAATATGATCTTTTTAATAAAGGTAAGGTGACAACGCAGTTTAAGAAAACAAATAAATAAAATAAAGGCTTTGATATAAAATAAATCTTTATTTATTTTATGATATTTGTGGTCACATCGATCTTTGTTGTCTTTGATAAATTGTCCTTTGTTAGGGTGGGATGGGACACCAACCGGAGCTGCAAACAATATCTCCACAATTGGCAGGCAGGCAATTCAACCAACAATTCCTCGAGTATTATAGCAACCAAAAAAGTAATCCTTGCTTGGAACATTCAGAGATATTATTTTGCCATGCTGTACATTTCGTCGTAACGATAACAGTCTCTCACTTTTCTGTCCCCAAAATACGCATAATTAATTGTACGAGATCGATTTTTCCGTACAAAACAAATTATACTATATGACAAAAACAAAAGAGCTTGACTAACTTACCAATTAAACTTTCTAGAAAAAATCGAAAATGCATAAATATAGTTAGTATAATAAATAAAAAAAGTCATAGTTATAATAAAAAAAAAAAAGCAAAAATATCATTACTGTGACAAATTCCAAATTGATATTCATATATAAATAATATACTATATATAATACTCAGATAATTCAATACTTTACATTGAAATCTCAAAAAGAATTTTTATCTTCTTTATTATTATTTATAATATCATGAATAAATACTTTTTAATGAATACTTTATTAAATATATATTAAATTGAGATATTTCAAGTTAAAATGGTTATGTTCTAGAATTTACTGATACAATTTGATATAAAAAATATTCAAATAATTATTATAATTCTAAAAGTAAAATTCTAAAGTCTATTAGTATAATTTGAAAAGGATTTTGTTAAAACAAAGTTATTTATGATTAAATCAAAAGTTGTTCTTATGCAATTTTTGCTAATAATTGTTTTGATTCATAATTAATAAGAAGTAAAATTCTTATATTCTTATAATTTAAACTTACAAATGTTCTTAATAGATTTGAACTAAAGATTTTTACTTAAAAATCTGAAATTCTATTATCTAATTTATTAATTTATAGATTTATAATTGCTTTCAAAAATTTAAGCCTATTTACTATGTCTTTATTATAAATTTTAACTTTGCCAATTTTTAAATCCTTAATTATATAATCAAAAATTATAAAATTTATATATATTATATATTAATACTAGTTTTATTTATTATATATATATTTTTAAAATTTTTATATATAATTTTTAAAGTTTTATTATTGTTAAAAATTTTTTTCTTTATTAAATTTTTACTTTTGGAGAATTTTAATTGACTGTTATCATAAATTATATACTAATTAATAAAAAAAAAAAAGGATATTTAACAATAATAAAACTTTAAAATATATTAATAAAAATTTTTTGAAAAAATATAAGAAATAAAATTAAGTATTAATACATAGTATATATAAATTTTATAATTTTTAATCATATAATTAGTGATTTAAAAATTGTTAACATGAAATTTATAATAAAAATATAATAAGTGGACTCAAACTTTTAAAAACAACTATATAAATATTATATATTAATTTTTATAATAATTATTATTAAATTATATAATCTTGCTGATTCCCAGTTTTCTTAAAAATTTCATTTTTTAATAATTTTATTGAAAAACAAAAGAAGCCAACTTTACATATACAAGAAAATATTTTTACATACAAAAACCTTTGCTTTCAAGCAAATTTCATATTATATACAACCAATTGATAACAAATATCAAGAAAATTTTAAGAAAATCTCTCTTTTCTACACAAAGTTTCTTTCTTTACAGAGAAAAGAAAAACACAAAAATACTGATTCACAGTAAGCTTTTTGAGGCCCAACCTTAACTCCACAAGCTCTTAGTCAGGTCAGTACAAGGTAACATCTTTTTTGATACCAAGAGAAATTCTGCAAACAATAACTCAAGCCAATAAATCAGTTTAAGTTCAAGGTTTATAACATTTAGAAGTAGGGATTGCAATTTTTATCCAAATTTGAATGATCCACAGATTTGATCTGAATGGATCAGATTAGATTTTAAATTTTTTGATCCGTTTGTATAAGAATTGGATATGAATTTCAAATTTTGAAATTCAATCTGATCGAATTCTAAATTTGTTATCCGATCAAATTTCAAGTTTTAAAACCTAGCCAGGTTCAAATAAAAATCGACAGTTTAACTATATTTAAATGTAGCTATTAAAAAAAAAACTCTCTGATTTTTTTTTTTTATATTCCTTTAACACCTTTACATAGTTCTTTAAAATTTTGTAATATTTTTTATGATATTTTTCTCCTTGCAACATTACTGATATTATTTACTTCAAAATAAAATAAAATATGATAGTTCTTTTAACGATTTCAATAAAATAAATGATGAAAGTTTCAGTTTAGATAGCTATAAATTGAGCAATACTAGTAATATTGCTACAAGTAGTTTTTTGGAGGTATCATTGAGTAATAAAATAAATTATAGAAGTAAAGTGTGGAACCATTTTATAAAGGATTCCGATTTCAATGAA